TAGTCGTGTCCTCTTTTGGAAGGCCAAACAAAGTAGTTTCGCTTTCACAACGAAGAGTTGAAGCGAAGAAAGAAGCGTCACACACGTGGCCTTGAGTGAGCGCGGTCATTTGCCAAGTTATAGACAAGTTAAAACTAGTATTGCTCTTTGCAGCGCAATATTTGACCAAATGTGTAAAAATGTAAAAAAAGTTATTTTCGTCAGTTATGGCTCGCTAGCTCTAGCATTCTGCCCGCTTCAAATCAGACACAGAGATGAAATAGTGCAGTAAGATCACATTTATTTGAATTAATTATAGCATTATCGATCGAGAGAGAGAGAGAGAGAAAGAGAGAGATGACAGTTGTGTGTGCTTTACCTACGTGCTGCGTCTGAGCGTCTCTCTCTATAAACAATGAATTACTTCAAAAACAGCGATTTTACCACCTCGTTGCGGAGGAATATAATGTAGTGATCTAGTATCTAGGCTATTTTTTTAATAAAAATCGCAGGGAAGCGTTGACAAGTTTATGTGTGTGCGCAGCGCAATCTGTGATCTCCGACCTCTCTCTCTCTCTCTCTCTGTGTGTGTGTGTGTGTGTGTGTGTGTGTGTTTGTGTGCATCAATTAAAGCAGCGCATTAATATAGAACGGTGATTAAACTGACTTGGAACTACCTGTGCATTAAATGGTTTTAGTGCATACCTGCCAGCCAATCAGAATACAGTATTTAGACAGTCCATGGAATAAAGCACTAATAAACAGCCAAAATGTTAATAAAAGGCATGCAGGAAGCAACTAGTTAATAGTGAGAATTGTTCCCTTTTTTTGAAAGCAAAAATATGAAAAGTTTAGGTTAGCTAAGATTTTTTTTTTTTTTTTTTTTGAAAGAAGTCTTATGCTCACCAACGCTGCATTCATTTGATCAAAATACAGTAAAACAGTAGTATTGTGCAATATTATTACAATTTTAGATAACTATTTTATATTTTAAAATTTAATTGACTCCTGTGAAGCTGAATTTTAAGCAGCCTCCAGTCTTCAGCATCACGATCCTTCAGAAATCATTCTAATATGCTGAAAAAAAAAAAGTTTTTAGAGAACAGTTGCGCTGCTTAATATTTTTGTGGAAACAATGATACAGTGATTTTTTCTTTTCAGGATTATTTTATGAATAGAAAGTTCAAAAGTCATTCAAAATCATTTTTAATCATTTTTATATCACTATAAATGTTTTTACTGTCACTTGATAAATTTAATGCATCCTTGATGAATTTTGAAAAATTACATTACATAAAAAAAACCAAAATTTTGAATGGCATTGTATAATTTTATAAATCCCCTTACATTAATTATTCTCCTAAAACTTGTGAATTATTTGATGTTCTAAAGTTTTTCCTGTAATTTTTACAGTCACTTTACAGTTACACATCACTTTATCAAGAAAGTTATATTATTGAATATTATGAAAAAAGTTAAAGGGATAGTTCACCCAAAATGAAAATTCTGTCACTGAATGTTTCAGTTCCATTGCTGTCTACGGAGCATCAGAGAGCTCTCAGATTTCATCAAAAATATCTTAATTTGTCTTCCAAAGATGAGCAAAGGTCTTACGGGTTTGGAACGACATGAGGGTGAGTAATTAATGACAGAATTTTCATTTTTGGGTGAACTATCCTTTTAAGTCCCCCCCCACACTAAAATTATGTAAAGTTGTTATTGCTGTGGCTACAATGATGAAACAAAGTACTTTAACGTTTACAGATTGGCCACATTCACTTCTATTAAACTCAGCTTGCACCGAATCTAGAAAAAGTCTTTAACAGGCAACAGTACCTGCTCTCTCCGGGCAGAAACGCGGTGATGGGAATGTTCTCTTGGCAGTCTTGGTCCGGGTGCCAGCTGGCCTTACAGGCGGAACAGAACTCAAGTGTGCAAACATTGCACTGCACCAACTGCGGAAGCGCCGTGTTAGACTCCTTCAGCTGGCACACGGCCTGGCACGTGGAGGACGGGCACCAGGTCCGGCTCGGGTCCAGCAGCACCTCTGCAGGGGGTGAGAGAAGAGATCAGACGTGGTTTCCGCGAGTGTATATTTTCGGCTGCTTACTGCTGATGTGGGCTGACAGGTCACCATGGTTACACCATCAGAGATGGAGGGGTGATAGAAAAGAGCAGCTATGGCCTCATATGCCCTCAGGAACAAGATACCAGAACTGCTACCAATCATAGTTCTGCATAAATTCATTAGTTACATTAGACTTCAATACGACAAAAAGCCACACGAGGTCTGTGCATTATATTGATTTTACCACAGTTCACGGCTGGGCACAACAGGAGGCGGAGACGCTGTTGTTCAATAAATAATAACATTTAATAATTAGTATAATAATTATTATAATACATTTAATAGTAGCTAGGTTTATATTCTCTGATAAAATGTCATTGGTGCTTGACTGTGCAAAAGATCTGGATGTCTGGGTGTTGCTAGAGCATTTCTAGGTAGTTTTAAGGTGTTCTGGGTGGTTTCTAAGGCATTTCTAGCTGGTTTCTAGGGTGTTATGAGGGGTTGCTAGGTTGTTTATATTTCCTTGGTTCTTGGTTTTTCCTATGCTTTTGCTAGACAGTTTCTAGGGTGTCCTGGGTAGTTGTCAGGACATTGCTAAGTGGTTACTAGGTAATTTTTAGGTGGTTTAAAAGGGCCTTTGTTATTGGTGTTCGCCAGGATTTTGCTAGGTGTTCCAGGTGGTTGCTAGGGTACTGCAAGTCTGTTTCTAGGGTGTTATTTTTTGGTTGCCAGGGCCTTACAGATTTGTTTCTAGATTCATGTCTTCTTTCTAAGACATTGCTATGTGGTTACTAGGATGTTCAGGGTGGTTTCTAGGGTCTTGCAAGATGTTTGGTGTCCAAGTGGTCGCTAGGGCATTTCTAGGTGGTTTTTAGGGTGTTGTTAGGCAGTTCCATGGATAGTTCTAAGTGGTTTCCAGGGTGTTCTGGATGGTTGCTAAGACATTGCTATGTGGTTACTAGGATGTTCAGGGTGGTTTCTAGGGCCTTGCAAGATGGTTGGTGCTCCAAGTGGTCGCTAGGGCATTTCTAGGTGGTTTCTAGGGTGTTGCTAGGCAGTTGCATGGATGGTTCTGAGTGGTTTCCAGGGTGTTCTGAACAGTTGCTAAGAAGTTGTTGTTTGGTTACTAGGATGTTCAAGGTGGTTTCTATGGCCTTGCAAGATGGTTGGTGCTCCTAGTGGTCGCTAGGGCATTTCTAGGTGGTTTTTAGGGTGTTGTTAGGCAGTTCCTTGGTTGGTTCTAAGTGGTTACTAGGGAGTTCTGGATGGTATGGCATTTCTAGAACCTTGGTTCTTGGTGGTTACTAGGGTTTTGCTTGGAGGTTTGCAAGATAGGTTGTTCTTGGTGGTTGCTACAGTATGTGACTTGAGTTTCTTACTGGTTCACATCCTCAAGTCTCTATGATATTCTGGTCTCGATATATAGCTTTGAATGCTGCCAATTCAATAAAAATTTACAGACATAACTATCCATTTCACAATGCTTTTACTGGCTTGTCTGCCTGACAAATGCATAAAAGCTCTGTTAGTGACATATGGCTAAGCTCGGTTATGTATGTAATGTGCGGTTGGGGGTAATTATGTATTCATAAAATCCCTTACTGCCATTTTTAGCCGCCTTGTTGAGTCAGGATGGCATGCATTTTCATCCGTCCCCGAATGCACTGTGAGACACAAACCGAACTCACTCATCCTCTCCATCTGACACGGCAGGCCATGCGTGACTCCACATGAACTCTTGGCTCTGTTTCTGGGAGTGTGGATATGTTATAGCCACCATTCCGCTCCAGTTCCCAGGAATACTGATTGGCTAAATGAATGCATTTTTACTCTCTCTCTCTCTGCAAGTCTTTCATTTATGATGATGTTGCTGCCACGGTTCTCATGAAATCCTCGAATGCAAACCAAAGAGAGACAGAGAGGGAGGCTCACAGCATGGGAGCATCTACTGCATATAACTACATTTATTTATTGTTTCTCCCTTTTCAAGGCAATATAATGCACTGGAGGGGGTGGACCGAGAGTATGCCTCAAGCAAATGTATCCTGTAGTTCAAACTACTGGAGACTATCAGAGTCCAGAGTCTGGGATCCCCTACTGATAGAAATAATGAAAGAAGCCGAGCACAAGGCACAGAGCCTCTGGTCTTTCCTGTTTAGGGGGAACATGTATGCTTTTGATCAAGCGTATCCAATTAACACAAGTCTAATTTACTCTTTATAAGTCTTTTGATCTGGGAGATTTCTGACTTGAAGCTACATTTGTTAAAATTAAAGGCATTTGAGGTCAGACTGATTCAGACACAGAGAGGAAACTTAAAGACTCTTCATTTGAACTTCACTTAAGTCTGAGCCTTTTTAAATCCCAGGTTAAGTCCACTTTTAACCCTGGGTTTCACGCTTGTAATTTTGACAGAAGGTTTGTAAAGCCTTAAACCCTGGATTATAAAGCACTGTTCAGGAAATGTTAGGCACTGCCAAAGGTATGAAGTTGGGCCTCTCGCACTTCAAATTGGTAGCCAAGGATCATTTTTAATCCTAGATTAATGTGATCCAGGATTTTAACACTGTTCATGGTTTACCTCGTGTTAGAGAATAATTCTTGGTGGCCAGAATAGGGTTGCACCAGTAGTTTGTAAATTCTTACTTGCATTGGTATTTCCAAACTAGAGGCTTAGTAACAGCTAGCTAGTATTTAAATAACTCTGTACTTAAAGGGATGGTTCACCCAGTAATGAAAAAGAAGATATTTGGAAGAATGTGGGTAACAAAACAGTTGACAGTAGCCATTGACATTCAAAAAATAAAAAATAAATAAATAAATACTATGGAAGTCAATGGTTTCCCTCAATTGAATAAAGAAACTTCTACAGGTTTGGAACAAGTGGAGGGTCAGTAAATGATGACAAATTTTTCTTTTTTTGTGTGAACTATCCCTTTAATTTGGTTGCACCATTTTTTTCTGAAGGCAGAACACATTATAAGTGCATAATATTACATTTACCAACAACAATCCAAAATCAGCCTAGAAATTTATGAATATAAATTGTGTTGAAATGTTGTGAATTTCAGTTTATCATATTGAAGTTGATTCTGACAGATTGGAAAAATGAATTTCCATTGAAATATGATACTTAATCATACAACAACATAATAGGTATTTTATATGTAAACATATGTATATTTACAAATATAATGTTTTATATGTAAATGTTTTACATATTGTCTGTGGAAATGCTTTTATGTAAATCCACTCTGCTTGTCTTGAAGGTGAAGATTATTTTATTGAAGTTTCCCTATGCCATGACACAAATATAAATATGTATTTATATATGCAAATTTATATAATAGATTTACCAAAGTGTAAACACTGTGCCACTATCAAAACATCCTGACCAGCCTGACATTGCAACACTGGCTCAACCAATGGCATGAGTTTGGGGCGGGGCTTTTTGCTGCCCAGAGGAAGTGTTTTAGAAACCTGTTTAAAAAAAATAATTACACACTTAGCCTAAATCTTTTAAAACTCAATGTCCACCTTATTTTCAACAGAAGAGCAGGTGTAGCCATTTTTAGCTTGAATGTGTGTTAAGCTGCTTGATATTGCAAACTGGTATTTATTAATTATATTATTTAAATTTATTATCGTAATAATAATCACACAATTTACTGTTTTCTGCACTAGTTATTTACCTATAGTAGCTAATGAATCAGAAGTCTCGCACATGCACAGGAAATAGCTTACTTCTACATTGAAATAAAAAGTATGGCTAGAACATATTTTAAGATACAAAACTGAATGTCAGGACTGTGGAATGGTAGTCAGCATGCGTTTTAAAACTTTGGTGCTCACGTGGACACAGCAGGTTTAAATCTGGTGCTTTCTGATTTATTTTTCTCCCACATGATAATCAGAAAAAAAAAAAAAAAAGACAGTTAAACTAGGTGTCGGCAGGTGGCAGGCTCTCATTGTTAGACACACAGAAAGCACAGGTAAAAGCCTCCACTCTGCGACAGCATGAGGTCAGCTGGACCTACACGTGTCCAGTGCAAGTCCACTCACATCCCTTTCATCCTCACACATACACCTGTGCCGGCCTATTTGTCTACAGTGAGTCACCCTGAGACATCTAGGACAGCAAGCATGGAGCTCACCATCAACAAACACGCACACGTGCCTCATCTGCTGCTGTCTGATACTAATTGCCCCCCTGATGGACAGACAGCCGCTTTCCACTTACCCTTCTCAAACTGCAGCTTCCTGTACCTCTGCATTATCTCTGTGGCCACCATGCATTCAATCTGAGAGAGAAAGAGAGAATACAAAAGCAATTATGAATCAATGTGGTCTGATGGATACGAATGCACTTTTCATTTTGCAGATAGCGCATTTAGCATTTCAATTTGATGTGGGTAAACACACACCCAACATCAAATATGGGTTCCAATCTAATCACTGTCTCGAGATCAAACAACACAGCAGGAATATGCATAGTGCATTTTTGCAGTTCCGTTTGGTGATGCTAGTGGTGCAGAAACGACATACTTCAGTTTTAAGGATTGCCAAAATATGCTTTAGTTGCTCTGAATCTGATGCTTTGCATCTGGGTCTGATTCATCTGGTTTAGCTGCTTTGATGCTTTGACACTGAATGAGCCAGCCATCCTTACAATCCGCCTGCAGCACAGAGGAGGAACCCTGCCCTCGGGACTGACCTCATACTTGGAAGGATTTCGCAGTCAGACTGGAGAGGTTTCAGCATCCATTTTAAGCTAAAAGGGTTTTAATCTCCTCTTGATGAGATACGGATTCATTTTAGGATTTTTATTTGGAAAGTAATGTATTTGGCTGTTTTTTCAGAAGCTGTGACTATTGCAGGGTTTGTTGAAAGAACTGCATCAGCAGATTAGCAAAACTGCAGATTAACATTACTACATTATACAATGTTTAACAGATCATTAGCTCTGTATTTTTTTCATGAATTTTTATGATTTAAATCTGTTTTTTATTTTACTTCAAGGACCCCTCATTGAAATGCTAATGCTAAAATTAAAGTCCCTGACATTTACTGTTTTTTTTTTTTTACAAAATGCAGGAATATGTACACCACTATTTGAAAGTTTGAGGGCGGTAAGGTTTTTAAATGTTTTTGAAAGAAGTGTCTTATGCTCACCAAGGCTGCATTTATTTTATGAAAAATAAGAGGAAAAATAATAATATTGTGAAATATTATTACAATTTAAAATAAGATTTTTTAAATGTAATTTATTCCTGTGATGGCAAAGCTGAATTTTCAGCATTCATTCCTCGAGGCCTCGGTGTCACATGATCCTTCAGAAATCATTCTAATATGCTGATTTGCTGCTCAAGAAACGTTTATTATTATCATCAATGCTGAAAACTCTTGTGCTGCTTAATATTTTGGAGGAAACCACAACTGTTTTTTTTTTTCATTATTGTGTGATGAATAGAAAGTTCAAAATAACAGCATTTATTTGAATATAAATATTTTGTAACTATGTAGAAGTTTTTACTGTCCCTTTTGACCAATGCAATTAATGCTTCCTTGCTAAATGCATTGATTTCTTAAAAAAAAAACCTATGAATCATGACCCACTCTTATGAACAGTAGTGTATGTTGACAGTACCTCATTTTCTTGTAAATGTCCACGTTTTGGACAGACTGAGTCTGGACAGCTGATGGCCGTTTCAAAGCCCTCTTTGATGAGAAGTTCCACATACTGCTTCAGGCACTTTAAAACAATAATAAGACATTAAAAATTAGTTAAATATAGAAAATATAGAAAAATATATTATGTGAAAACAAATTCTGCTTTTAACGTCTTGTTTAAATTGCTCAATGTGTCTGTGAGAGTGAGTACAGAAGCACTTAACCACTTGTAATGAACTGTTAACTTCCTCAAAACAATTACGCTGTGTAACATCTCAATTTAACGAAGACGCAGTCACTTGTCCAAGACTAATTATCCTCCAATGTTAGCAATTTGTGAACTGACTGCTTTAATAAGCTATGAAAAACAATTATTTTATTATTTACTTTATGCTTCAGGAGAAATATTCATGTCATATTTTCCCCTCTCTCCCACTCTTTCTCTAAGAAAGAAAGAAAGAAAGAAAGAAAAAAAAAGAAAAGTAAAAGAAAATACTAAATATCAGATAAATAACATTTTGATCTGAACAGACCAACAAACTAAATGGATTTGAGCTTCAGGAATGTTCGGTAAGGGAAATTCTGAGGGAGTGGTTTCCATAAACATGCTTCTCTTAAGACACAAAGGCAGTTTTGTTTCAAGTGAGCTCAGACACAACCAAGACAAGGCCTCTTAGAATCAGATGAGGAGATGTTTTCCCTTTACACTACTCTAGAAGCTTCCTTTCCCCAAATGTTGCTTGCAACCTCAAGACATAAATAAAACTGGTCTCAGATCAGTGTAAAAACACAGCAAATGGAAACTGCTCCCAGAACAGAAAAACTCTGAGGGTTGAAGAAGACTCAAATATTTATTACTGGACTGTGAATCACATTTCTGAAACAAAAAAACAATTCAGTCGGCCTGTAGAGAATCTGTCTATAGCTGTGAACTCTGTGTGTAAATATAGACATGTTTCAAAATGTCTGAAGCTTATGTAAGAGTTCCACTGATTTATTTTTAGACGTTCTATTCCTAAGACAGCAGTCAAAAATGAAATAATTCACAGAATTAATCTTCATTCTTCACGCATATTATTATTATTATATATATATTAGGGATGGGAAGATTCCCCGAATTGCTTGGTGCATCGGCATAAAAAGTTAACGATGCGATCGGTTTAAAAAGTGTGCATTGGATACAAGTTGGCATTTATATCGCGATGCATCGTTTCTAACATATTTGCATCGGTAAAAAACGATTTATTTATATATAATTACTAATGGATGCGCTATACTTTTATTATTTAGAAAGTGACCAATAATCTGTGATCAATATTTTATATGTAGATTAATTTCTCCTCTCTAAACTGTTTCTCAAGCGC